ATAGATAGATAGATAGATAGATAGATAGATAGATAGATAGATAGATAGATAGATATCTATCGTCCATATCTCTTTTGTTTGTTACTCTCTAATAACGCTTTCTAATCTTTGGAAATTGTACAACCTATTTGTGTTGCAAGTGCCGTAAAACGTTCCCTTTACATCTAAACGAAACGACCATGCAGCGTAGCAGCCTGTTCAGTGCCGAAAAGCTGCCATGCACAAATTATTCCCGAGTTTGGCCATTGTGAGAGTAACCATCTGCGATTAATGGCACTGAAAATCTGCGGTTCAGGAAACTGAGAACCATCGCGGGCTAAGCGCTGTCTTGTACTAACTTCATTTTTTCCGGTATTTATGCAAATCGCGATGAAGCACTGGATCCCAGTCGGGAAAAAAGCAGGAGTTTGTTCAAACTGGAACTGAAATTCTGCGCATGCGGATCACGAGTATTAGCGGTAATAATTTTGGGATGAAAGTGGAGAATTTTCAACGTAATAACTTTACGATGCAAGGGGGAAAATTCCAATATGTAATGATTATTTTGTAATGAAAATGAAAATTTTTTCGAAGGTAATAATTTTATTATTGAAGTTAAAGGGACAATTTTCCAACGTATCAATTTTGCTACCAAGGGGAAGATTTTTCAACTTAATATTTTTATCAAAGGAAAGATTTTTCAACATAATAATGTTGTTATCGAAGGGACATTTTGTCAACGTGACAATTTTATCAAAAGAGAGATTTGTCAGTGATCTTGACGGGCTTTGACAGAAACCTCCCAAAAGTTGGAGTGTGTGGTACGAAATAAAAGTTAAGATTCTTTGTCCACATAAATAGAGCAAACGAGCTTGTGAAACTGCTGTTGTGGGGAAATATAAAGGGAAGGGGGGGGGGGGGGCAGAGGAAGACTGAGAACAACATACACAGATCGCCTTAGCAGCTTTGCATCAAAATAACATAAAGAGGACGACCGAGCTGATCAGGAAGATTGACAACAGAAAGGATCCAAAGATCGTCAAGGTGGACAACAGAAAGGAGTTGGGTCTCAAGATCATCAAGGTCAATTCTAGACCTGACAACTGAGGTATACGACTGCACTCCCGAGAATACAACGCCTTGTGTCCCACCCTATCCTACCCAGGGAAAATGGTGAAATGGTATAGGTTTAACGCCCCTATCAATACTATTCGGTTGTTTAAGAGGCGTGGCCTCCGAGTTAAACGTCCGTCTCTGAAAGGCCGCGTCGAGCCAGGTGGGAATTTCGTGTAAAGTGTCTTTCCCAAAGACACAACGTAGGACTGAGCTGACGGACCCGCAATGTCACGGATTCGGTAGCCTAACCACTAGGCCACCAACACCACCTTCCTACCCGAGAATTGAACCCTCGGTCTTATGATTGCAAATGGTGCGACGATTAAAAAACAACAACAACAACAACAACAACAGGTGGGGTCAGGCGTCTGTGGTGTAGCGAGTAAGCTCTTCTCCGCCGTTCGCAGAAAACTCGATTCGATTCCCGAGTATGGAGAATTTGTACCGAGTGTCTTGGTCTTTCTGCTAGGATTTCATTTCCCTCTCATCCCGGGTTGGTCCAGATAGGAAAGGTCGAAGCCCACCTCCTGATTGAGTGTGTGGTTGGCGGGTGCTCTTATCTGGTTTGCTTTGCCCTTTCTTTCCTGTCAAATATCTGTCTACTTCATCTTTTCTCTTTCTCTTAATTGTATTTTGCTCTCTAGTAACACCTCGAGTCTTCGGCATATATTTGACCTATTTCTTTTGAAATCCCGTCAGTACTCTTACTAAACCATAAAACTCCTAAATCATTTAAACTACATCTGGAAAAAAAACCCATAAAAAAGAAAATAATAGAAAGAAAGAAAAACAAAGCCGTAGGATCACCTGGGAACGAAAGGTCAATGATTCTTCGCCCCCGCCCCCGCCCCCTCTGCACTTAACAGGGAAGGCAGCTGTTACGTGGAGGTAATCAGTGAGTGGAGAGAAAGCAAACAGCCCACCCCAACCGGCTGTGTGTGTGTATGTGTGTGTGTGTGTGTGTGTGTGTGTGTGTGTGTGTGTGTGTGTGTGTGTGTGTGTGTAAGTGTTTGCACGAGTCATTAGTTAAACTGTATGCAAATTTCTTCTGTTTGTCACAAAGTATGCCGTCCTTTTTGTAAAATAAATCATGATTACCAAGTCCTTTATGTAATATAAATCATGATTACCAACCGAAACTTATATTGTCTTTTCGGGGTTTCAAAAACCTATCAAAACAAATGACGCTTTTTCCTTTCATATTTGTCAAAGCAGTACACGCTCTTCGTTTCTTATAATTCTGTCAGAACCAAATCATGTTGTCTTTTATATATCTGTGAAAACAAATGACAATTCTGTAAAAACTAGTGAGCTTTTGTCTTTTATACCTCTCAAAATAAGGGCCACTTTTTTGTCTTTTATACATGTCAAAACAAATCACCATCATTTCTGTCTTCTTTTTTTTTATCTATCAGTACCCCCCTCCCCCCGTGCCCCCATACACCACCACTATTGTCTTATATCTGTCAAAACAAGTGGCGCTTTTTTTCTTTTGTTATATTTAATTTTGGCAAAGCAAGTCACTATATCTGTCTTTTATATTTCTGTCAAAAGAACCAAAACCACGACATCTGTCCTTAATGCCTGATATCCGTCAAAACAATTGGCGCTTCCTGTAGACTTTAGATTTGTACCAAAAAAACACACACTTTATGTCGGTTGTATAATATGTCAAAACAATTGACACTTTTTGTCCCTTATATGTGTCAAAAACAAGTGACACCTTCTGTTTATCATATCTGTCAAAACAATTGACGCTTTTCGTCCTCTAGGTTGGCAAAACAAACGACGCTTTCTATTATTTAAAAAAAAAATATTTCTGTCACAGCAACCCCGCTGTTCGTTGTTTGAAACTGTCCAATCAGATGACGCCAAACGTGATTTTTTCGCCCGAGATTGATTTCCGTCAACGTTTTCTAAACAAATTGAAACCCTTAGTTTAAATAAACGGTGTCTCAGTCTTTATTAATCAAAGGACTCTGTCAAATCACATGATGCCTGTAGATTTTATTTATTTATTTATCAAAACAATTAGTCAGATAAGAGTGCCTTCAGTCTTTTATATCACTATTAAGACAGCCCAATAAAAAATGCTTACTGTCTGAATATCAGTTAAAACTGTCAAAAGGATGGCTATTGTGTTTATGTCAATCAAAACAATCGGGCAAAAATCGAATGGAGCCTATCATTTTTATAACAATCAGTCAAAAATCAACTAGTCAGTCCTTTATAACAGTCGAAATAATCAGACAAAACAGATTTCGCTTATTATCTTTTATAAATCGAAACAATCTAAACAAATGGTTCCTATCGTCTTTTATATCAAACAGATCAATCAAACAAATCACATGGCGCCTATCGTCCCTCAAATGGCCGACCCTGATCTCAGCCTATAGCCCCGGGGTATTAACTTAATATCAAATATATGCATGTTTACAGCGTTGAATCCCACCTCTGAATTGATCTAATTTGTGCCAGTAGGGGCGTAAAACATATCCATTATTTTTTTTTAAAGAAACGAATCTATTTGCTCCCATCAGAATCACATTTTAAAAGATAGGACACAGCTATTCAGTGGCTGGTTAGCGGGTGCTCTGGTATGGTTTGCTCTTCCTTTCCTATCAAACATCTATCTTCCTTATCTTCCCACCTTCTTTTACATGTTTGTCACTCTTCTGTAACACCTAGAAGCTACTGCACTTTTATGTCCTAAATGTGTTGCAAGTGCTGCACAAAATCTTACAAACACGAAACAACTACTCACGTTTATTAGTTCCTGGTGCGCGTAGTAGAGATTCCACTAACTCCTGCCCTAGCTGGCTTTGTCTGCTCACCGACGCACGCGCGATGTCGCTCACACCAGTGCCACTCAACATTCTGTGGGACTCCGCGACTCGCTCAAGCTTATACCACTGTCCGTAGCTGGCGCTCACACCACATACGCACGCGTACCTTCTTGCGTGAGTGCGTGCTTGCGTACGGGCGGGCGTCTCTCTCTATCTCTCTTTCTCTCTGTTGCTGTCTTTGTCTGTCTCTGCCTCTGCCTCTGCCTCTGTCTCTGTCTCTGTCTCTGTCTCTGT